GCAATAGGTATAGTTCAGTGACTTTGTTGTTACAAACGAAAGAAAAGTGATTTAGGAGATAATTTGAGATAGTTGAGTGATTATTTGAATAATTTACTCATTTTCTAGCCGATTAAGTTGCCCTACTTATGATTTTGCTTTTGTTGTTGAATCTATTTTCCTTAGTAGGAGTTAATTTGTGTTTGGCCAATTCATTTAAGAAGTACTTTTTACAATATTTGATAAACAAATTGTGTTTGGCCAATCTTTACAAAAAGTACTTTTGAGTGTCAAATTACCAAAAGGATAGTGCCAAACTTTTATTTAAAAGAAAATAAATTTTAATATTATTATAAGAGACTGTTATTAGTTTTTATTTAATTTAATTAAGATATAAACATAAAGTATACATACATACTAAATATTTAAATCTTTGTAACATATATAGTTATACCAAAGCAATAATATTATCTAGTATAATTACTTGTTATTTATACCATGAAATAATAAGCAAAGTGACTCACACATGATAATATTTCTCAACAATTTCATCTCTAATTCTATCACGCAACGCCTCCATAATAGTCGAAGACTTGTCTTGCATTTCTAAAGGAATACCAGAAGCCCCATCTCCTTCCTCAATCTCTGCAGTAATGTCTTCATTAGCATAATAGTTGAATTCCTTATCAGTAGAAGATCGTCGTCGGATGAAATTATGTATAGCCATGGTAGTTGTAACAAGATGAATCTGAGTGTCAAACTTGAAAGATGGCATTGAGCGTAAAATAGAAAACCTATTTTTCCAGACTCCAAATGTTCTTTCAATTGTACATAAACCTATTAGGACTACTATTTTCTGAATTTATTTTTGCCTACAGTGATAGGATGTGTTAGAAGGAAAAGAGGTAGAAATCTCTTGGAGATAAAGGGTTTTGAAACGAAAGTTATGAGGATCGAAAGTACAAAAGTAAAATAAATTTGGAGATCAATTTAAATAAAATCGCTTGTACATAAGAAAATAATTTGCTTTATTTATTCATTTATTAGCACTCGATATTAGTAAATTTCTCATCTTTACCATTCAAACTGAAGATGGCTCGATATATATATATATATATATATATATATATGGAAAGAAATGTAAAGGATAATTTGAAAAATATAAATTTATGGTGAGGATAGTTTTGTCTTGAATAAATTAATTTTCTGTTTCTGTTTCTGCTTCTGCTTTTTGGAAGAAGCTAGGATTTTCTGCTTCTTCCCAAAAGCAGAAAAACTGCTTCTGCTGTTGGCCAAAAATACTTTTTTATTTTTGCCAAACACAATAAATTTTTCAAAAAGTAATTTTTTTGACAAAAAAAATACTTTTGGCCTCTAAGAAGCTTGGCCAAACAGGCTCTTAGTTTATGAATAGCAAGGTGAAAGGTAAAAAACAAGAAACTCTCCGTCACTTGAGTACAAGGTGAAATTGCAATCATTGGACTGTAAATACAATATCCCAAATGTCAGTCTTACCCTTTTTTTTGAATGGTAGCTTAGGCCATACGTGTGGATTTAGTGTTCTTCACATTAGAATATTTCTTTTTCCTGAAATATTAAGCTTTAAAGCAAAAAAATATTACTACTAAGTTTGAGTTCAGTAGGTGGAATTTCAGTGCAGAAACCTCTGAAATGCTACTTGGCTAATTTTTCATATCCCGAAAGATGCTTAATTAGGACTCGTTTGGTACGAGGGACAAGGAATAATTAATTTCGAGATTAAATTTAAAAAGAATTTATCTCATGTTTGGTTGGAAGAAAATTACGATATAATTAATCCCGGATTGTAGTATTTTTTATCCCCATAGAAAGGTGAAATAACTAATCCCGGGATAAATAATCCTGGGATAACATGTTTCCAACCAAACGACCCCTTACAGTTAATCCGATAGTTGGATCAGCAACTTAAAAATTTACCTGAAAATAGGCGTGTCAAGAAATGTCAGTACTATATTCACTTGTAGAAGGTTGAATTAAATCATTGGTTCTGCTAATAATCTTTACTAAATTACCACCTTCACTTATTAAACTTTGCCTAGATATTACGACTTACCCAGATAGAGAAAGTATATCAGAAATGAGGGCAGAGCAGAGCAGAGCAGATAAGCATAGCATGTGAAGCCTCTGCAAGAAGAGAGGAGTTTAGTGCAGAAAGCCAGAAGTGAGGGAACAAAAGCATTAAATTGATTGAGTCCAAATAAAACCATTAATGTATGATTTAAAGAAAAAGGAAGAAGTCGACGGTGTGTCCTTCCACCTTAAAGATCATTAAAAAGAAATAGTAAGCCAACTGCGACAACTACGTACACTGCAGAGACTGTCTCAATTCCCATTACCACTACTTTTTGTTCAGATCGATCGTTATCATTTGCTAGCTAAATTTCAGATTGACATCATCTGTATCCAACTCCTCTGCTCCTTCGAAGATAAGATCATTCGAAATGTGAGACTCTGCTTATTCTGCAGTTTCTGTTTCTTGACGTCCTAAATCTTTTAGCAAATGGTTCTCGCGTAGGACCACACTTCGAATTCTGGTTCATTTTACTTGATTTTCTCTAGGATTTGAGATATATAAGCATGTTTGACCAAGCTTCTCCAATTTTAGAAATGCTTTTTTTTTAAAAAAAATGCTTTTAGGCCAAGCTTTTGGAATAAAAAAAAAGTACTTTTGAGAAGTGTTATTTAAAACTTGGCCAAATACTAATTGCTGCTCAGAATTACTTTTCAAATTAATCAGGCAAAAACAAATTGTTTCTCACCAAAAGTACTTTTGAGAAAAACACTTCTCAAAATAAGTTGATTTTTACAGCTTGTCAAACAGGCTAATAGACTATAATACATGAATTATTATGTGGTGAACACCTCTCCTTCACTCTGTTTAAAGATATTTAATTTTAAGTGTTTAATAGGTACTCACCTAGTTGAAGTGTATAAATAAAAACTAGAGCCAAGTTTAAGGGATCGTCCAGGTATATTACCAGTACATATTACTTTTTCATCATATCTCGGCCCTCGTGAACTATTTCCTTCGGTCCAAAATAAGTAATTTTTTGGCCCTTTTTTTGTGGTCCAAAATAAGTGATTTTTTCAGATTTCAAGAATGAATTAATTATTTTTTTTCCTACATTGCCCTTGGAGTAAATAGTGTTGGAGTATGTGTTAGGAGTATTTATGTGAAGAGATAGTAACGGTTAATATGGTCAATTTTATAGCTAATTAATGTTAAAAGGTGGATTTCTTAATCTGTATGAAAACAGCTAAAAAATCACTTATTTTGAACCGGAGGAAGTAATTAACTAGATTCAAATATAAGTTCTGTCGGCGTGCATAATTCAATTTCATAGCCGAAATATAACATTAGTTATGAGAGTTTTATCTCGAAAATCAAACCTTTAATCAGTCACAAGCAAAAAGTCTAATAGTAATACATAATTTTGTATTGCAAATTAAACATTGTATTAGTTATGCAAAATTTTACATCAGAATTAATTTTGCTTATGCAGTCAACAAAATGACCCGTCAGTGAATAAAATTAAACTTTACTTGATTCAATCTCCAAAGACTAAATGCAATCCCTTGCATCAACCACAGCGTGGACCTCAAGGCGAAGTTTTCCACCTAAAGGAGTAATTACATTTGTTTGAAAGTGTACTAAGTAATAAATATCCATCTTAACCTTTGAGAGTTCATATTCCAAGTTGCTTATTTTATGCATGCACGTGGGGACATGCGTCGCAAATACTATGGACTATGGAGTAGCTAATTTAACAAGAGTGCTCTTTTATCAACAAAAAAAAAAAAATACTAAACCTTTTCTTAAAACGAATTAATAAGAAAATAGTTGTATACCAACTACAAATGCTCAATGATTGTCAATGAATATAGTAATAAAAGCATGTAATAAATGTAGATAATGGCAATGAATATAATAAGAAGGAATTTATCACCCGAATGTTAGATGACTTGGATGATTCTCCTTCCTGACAACAACACGGGGGAATAGAGAATGAAGATGGACAAGGAATTTTTGGATCTTGTGAATAAAAAGTGTATATCGAACAATGTAATCAGTGGACAAGACAAGCTTTTGTATATTCTTTGTAGTCAACCTTTTACAATGTGCTCTTATCCGAAAAGTGAAGATCCCCTTCCGATTTTTTATCTCTTCCTATTTATAGGGGATATTCCTGAGAAACCTTAGAAAAGTACAACAGAAACAATGGATTATTCCTTCTTTCTATTCTAAACTTATCCTACCGTTACTTTCATACACCCTTTACTTGACCTCGGTACTAATCTTTCTTAAGGCGACTCCTCGCCCTTATGCCGTGGTCGACTTAATCCTCGACCACGTCCATTTGCAGCTATTAAGTCTAGTCCAAATTTGGACCAATACAGTTAGTTCCTCCACTTATTGAGGTCGTGATCTTGGACGTCCTCTATAGCGGACCCTGTCTGCAGCCGTTCAGAGGAAATTTGGTCGTGATGATTGCATTGAACCGGCCAAGGTCGAACTAGCGGCAGGGCTGCAGTTGGTGTGGCTATCGTAGGATGACATCATGCCATGCGCGTCATCATTATGCATCTTCCCAATGCAGTGTCTGCGCTTCTATCGCTTCGGTTTTGGTGCCATCGACGTCTTTTTTCCTCGATTCTGGTGTTACCCAACCCTATAAATAGGGGAGAGGGGTTTCATATTCGAAGCTTTCAGAATTTCTCACTTTGCATGCCTATTGTTCTTCTTTGACCTTCTTCTCTGATCTCCATTTCCGATTTCTTTACAGTTTTTCAATTCTGATCCCTGATTTCTTTCCCGGTTGATATCTTCTCTTTCTGACTTTGCTGTACACGCCCTACTACCAAAATATGTCTGATACCCCTTATGTTCACGACGGAGTCTCCGATGTCATTCCGTTATTGGTGGCTATTCCTCCTGGCGGTGAGGAATCCATGGTTGAGGAGGAAAAAAGCTTCCCTACTGTAGAGGAGGTGGTTCCCAAGAACCCTTTGGTCAGACATGACTTTCCAAAAGAACCTGCTCCCACTCCTGCCCAGAAGCTTTCTGAGACGGGGCCGCATCAAGTAGCCGACCTCTGGTCCAAATATCGCATTCCTTCTCATGTCGAGATTATTCCGACGGGAGGCGACATAGTACAGGTTCACCGACCTGGATATTGTGCTTTCTATGTTTATCCGTTCCTAGTCGGTTATTCTCTTCCTCTCCCCCATTAGCGGAGGAGTTTTGCCGCTTTTACAACGTCTGTCCGGCGCAGCTCTCCCCTTATTTGTACAAAATGTTTCTAATGTTGGCGAAGTACACGAAGTTGGCCGGATGTGAGGTCAATATTTGGCATCTGTTACATCTATTATAGAGGCACATTGATACATCTGCAACATCGTGGGATCAAAGGGTTTGTGGCCGGGATGGACGATAAGGCGAACCGGCGGTTCTGGCATAAATACTTCTTCATCAAGATCGAGTACCTGGTGGTGAATCCGACCGGGTTTCCCGAATAGTGGAACTATAATCGGAAGTATCTTGTCATATGTTCATTTTTTCTTTCCTATTCTTTCGTTTTCGACTCGCTCACGGCTTCTTTGTTTTCAGCTGAAAGGCGTGCACTTTCTCGCGTCTTCGATATTGAAGATTGGGTGGCTCGCGTGTTACCCCACACCGTGGGAATTCGCGACTGGGCGTCCTTTCACAAGCGCTTTGGGCCCAATACTCTGTCCAGTAAGTGTTATTTCTACCTTATAACTTATTATCGTTTACTATCGCCTTTTGATGTGACCTTCATTTGGTGTCAGGTCGGCGAGTTTCCATAAAGGCGAAGGCTCCAGTACCTGCATTTCGTCAGGCTATTGCATCAGCTAGAATACAGTTTGCTTTAGTTGAGTCTGCTCGAGGAGGTTGGACTCAAGTTCTGCCAATGAGGGACTTCGCACTCCAAACCGTTGCCGTGCCGGATGAGATCTCTTCTCAGCCCATCTTTCACCTTGTGGACGAATCATCTCACAGAGAAGAGGCATCACCGAGGAAAAGACGAAGGGTGGAGACCGGAAAGGCCATTGTCGTTGATGTTGAAAGCAGAATCAGTGCTTACACTAGGCATCGAGGTTGTTTCTACAGTAGGTGCCGCCATGGAGAAGAGGCCCTATGAGGTTGAGGGGGTTCGTGGTAGCGGAGAGCTTACACGGGCTGTTGAAGGTGGCTCATCATCAACGACTGGGAGAGATAGAGCTGTCCCTACGGAGGGCGATGACTCTGGCTCTGACATTGACCCTAAGGAGGTACGGACCTTCATGGAAAGGACTACTCACGTGGAGATAAGGACTAAGGGTCTTAATCGGCATATAGTCATTCCCGTGGATTATGACCTCTTGGCCAACATAGAACGGGCGATGCCGGCCTTCGCTCCCCTGTGTGCGATTTCCGAGAATAGGATGCTACAGACGCTAAAAGATGCGGACCTGTCGCTGGGTATATCAGGCATGGCCTTGCGAGTAAGTTTTGCTTTTCCTATGTTAGTTTAAGTTTATTTCGTATGTGTAACTTGCTTACACTGACTCTTGTTGTTTGTATGTTAGACTCTTATTATGGGGATTGAGCGCGGCCGGCGGGAGGAGCGGAGGAAGGATATTTTTAAGAAGATGACCTCCAAGTATAGTGAGTACCATACCAAGCACTGAACGCTAGCCGACTTTCTCAGCCAGTATGACCAGTTTCAGTCGCTCCGTGATGGGCTCAAATAGAAGGACGATGAGCTGACAAAGAAGGACGATGACCTGAGGGAGAGGGACGAGGAACTTATGAGGGCTATCAGCAGGTGTAGCGTGCTTGAGGGAGCCTAAAGGCTAAGGAGGATGAGCTCGAGGTGAGCAAGGGAGTGATGGCCGAGAATGCTGACCTTCAGGTGCAGGTGGCGTCTTTAACGCTGAACTCAAGTAGAGGGAGGCAAGGGATGTCGATCTGAGGGATGAATTAAGTGCCAAGATCGAAGAGTTGGGTCGGGTTGAGAACGTCAGAATGACCACTATGGTTGAGGGGATGGCCTTAGATGACGCCCTCCGTGTTTGCAGGTTCGAACGGGCTAATGAGGCGGAGACGTCGGCGCTCAAGGTGGCAAGGTTGGAGGAGCAGATCATGGGTTTGGAGGCGGAGCTGTCTAAGTTAAATGAGCAAGTCGTTGCCATGAGGCGGAAAAGACACAACAGCAGGCACAACCGTCTACATCTCACACTTTCGCCGATCTCGATGTGTCGCGGGAGTTGTACGAAATGTGGTCCATGCTGAGGCTCAGCTTGACGTGTAAAAGTCTTTGAAGGTTGCCGGGAAGGTTTCCAATGCGGAGCTTGAGGGCGTCCGTGTCAAGGCACATACAACTCGTGAAGCTTGTGATAACAACCCTGGTACACCCGCGGGGATGATGATGACGATGCCGCAGATGGGATTGCCTCTAATCCATGGTATGATGATGAGTATGCTGATGGGGATGATGTGGCGTGAAGCTTTTGTACTTAGTT